CCCTGAATTAACATCCCATACTAGGCTGTTGGGGGAGCTGCCATAGGATGTGAGAGAACATTCTCACTGATGCTGGCTTATTTTCCAAGTTAAATACATATTTGATATTTGAAAGCTATTTTAATCTGTATTAGCATAACTATATTTTTAATTTATCTTTCACTGCTAAATTTTAATTAATGTCATCTTGTACTTTTAAAACTACATCAACTATATGAAAAGCACAGAGTTTTTAAACACCCCTCATATGGAGAGAGAAAAGGAAAGAGGGAGAGAGAGGTGGGGGAGAGAGACTGAAACTCAAAATGAACTCCTTCTGATTGTAGCATGGGTAAATGACCATAGGCAAGGCAGCAGACCTCTTCAGACTCGTACCTTTATTTTGTGGGAGGCAGCCAGACTTGTTTAGAAGCCTCAAGTATACAGCCACTCTCTTGGGCATTGGATCATCACACTATGGATTAGATAAAAAAAACCAGAATTTAAAGTGAGGATAGCAACAGTGGCAAATAAGTCCATCTGAAAAGGAAAAAATGTTGGGGGGTGGTCACTGCTCTTCTGCATGCTTCTTCCTATCCCCAGGGGGGTGGAAATTTACATATATTTGAAACCTGAAGAGGCCCAGGTATGGTGGCAATGCATCTGTGAAAGTCACTTGGAGGCTAAGGTAAGAGAATTAATTTCTAGGAGAGCCTGAGCTACACTGTGGCCTCCTGCCAGCCTGATGCATGCAGCAAGACCCTATCTCAAGATAGCAGCAAAACAAACAAAAATAGTACCATCTCCAAAACCTAGAAAATGGAGAACACAAAACAAATCAGAACTGACTGTAGTTGCAAATGCCCCTTGAAGCCAAATGAGCTACCAAACTCCTGGGTGACACCGTTCACTCTGGCAGACCCTTCTAGACTTTTCTGCAAGTACACAGTTGTGTGCCCACAGAGGGAGAAATACAGGCCTCCTATTTCCCTTTCATAAAAGCAAACCAGAGAAACATGACAAGTATGTACCCCTGAGATTCCACTTTGCACGTCATCTTTCATGGTTCTGATAAACTCATAGAATCACTCTTATTGGCTGAAGTGGCTGTTCTCCTCAGGCTGTCTTCAAATAGTAATTTAGTGGTTGTAGAAAGTGTGACAGAAGAGTCCATACTTAAGAGTTAGAAACTATAGTGTGTACAAACTATAACAAGGAGGGCTTCGGCTCAGGTGTGGGAATGATAGAACTAAACACATCCTCACTTGCATAGGACCAACTTAAAATACCTTGTGATTAAGAAATGGAGGATTTGTGATAGATGGAAACCAAGACATTCAGAAAAAAACTTCATGGGCATGAACAGCAATTTTTAAAAGGCTCATCTAAAGGAATGGAATATCCACACTTGAAATAGACCTCCCTGCTTTGTGAACTATGAGGAATCAGTTTTGTAAAGACTAGATTTTTGGACCTTCAGGAGCATGGTCTTACAATGGTACATCTATCTCCTCACTCTCAGAGCTGGCTGCACTGAACACACGTGCTTCCTTGTGCACAGATGCAAGGCAATCCAGAGCAAAATCCTGGATATTGGTTCCTGAGGCCCCCGGGACAGTTCAGTGTCTGTCACAGGTGGGCACAGCATCTGTCTGGGTCAAGTGAGGCAGATGAATTTATTCTTGGTACACTTGCAGTCCCACAAAGCTTCACAGTAGGCCTTTTCTCAGATCCTCTATACAGCCTCTCTCCTACAGCTCCCAGGTGCCACCTCTTTCTATGGAAAACAAAACAAAACAAACCCCTTCCAGTCTGGAGAAAAGCTGCAGTCTTGGGAAAGAGGAAGGCCTGGGGTGGTAGAGGAAGCATACTGACCCTTCACCTCTCTGACTGGCTTCTCCACAAAGGTTCCTTTCTTATGGTTGTCTCATCACAGTCTTAGCTTTCATGGGACCCACTCATATTTGTGGGAGAGATGCCACATTGATAAAAACACTCAGAAGGGTTTGCTATTCCTATCAGGCTTCCACTCTTAAACAAAACCCAGGAATCAAGACCAGGCTACAGAAACCCACAGAGACAGCTGACCTGAACAAAAGGGAACTAATAGCCCCCCCCCCCCAGACTGATAACTGGGAAACCAGCACTGGACCAACTCAAACTCCCTGAACGTGGGCCTCAGTTAGAAGGCCTGGGCAGTCTAAGGGACCTCTGACAGTGGAACCAGGATATATCCCTGGTACACAAAAGGACTTTGGGAGCACATTCCCCATGGAGGTATACTCCTAGTCCCTACTCCAAATGACTTGGCAGATTTTGATGATCCCTCCTGGAAGACATCACCCTCCCTGTTGAGTGTGTGTATATGTGTGTGTGTGGGGGGATGGAATGGGAGGGGGAGTGGGGGGCATGAGAGGGAGAAAGGGATAGAGGGAGGGAGGGGGAACTGGGATTGATATGTAAAATAAGAAAAAATAAGTTTTAAAAAGTCTCAAAGTTAACCTTAAGGGGGGGCAGGAAACAAAACAATAAAAACAAAAACAAAAAAAGAAACAAAATAAAACCAGAAAACCCATTCCCCATCTCTGCCCCCTAACCCTGATTGTTTTTTGCTCCACCTCACCTCCTCCACTAGCACATCATCTACTCAGTTCATTCCCACACAGAGATTAACCACAGCAACTATTCATTTCCATGCTTTCCTCCCTCCAGGTATTTTCCTGACTTTTCTAATTATAACACGTACCTATGGCATTTGAGACACACCACTAGGCCTCCACCCACCAGGATCTGATTCAGTGGCTGTTGGGTGGGCCCCAAGAGTGATGTTAATGAGAAGCCTAGTTTTTTCTTATCAAAGGCACTAGGGCAATGTGATTATAACCTACACTGACACTTCAGATGCATTAGTAGATATTACCCTTAAAGTCACACCAGGAAAGAAACACATACACCAAGAATTTCAAATGCCACCCTATGCTTGCCCAGAGTTTACCCACATATTCACCTGATAGGGAACATAAGCTGAACATATTTACATGTCCCAAAGAGCAGTGAGAGATGCCAAAAAGACCCATGAACCAGGTCTCTGGAAATCTGAATTCCCCAATTACATTAAATTATCAACTCTTGGACAAGCTGTTTGGCCTGTTTCCTAACCTCTAAATGCCTAAGTGTTGCATGATATACTATTCTTAGATTACTATACTCCTTGACCCATGATCTATACTTTTAGGGATTATACTAAGGGTTATCCAGGCAAATGTAGAAAATACCCATCGTGTTAAACAGTATGGTAGCACACACCTATAATCACACCATGTGGGAGGTAGGAGACAGGAAGATCTCTAATTCTAAACTAGCCTGGGTTACCTAGCAAGACACCGTCTAAAAAATGTACTTACCGTCTTGTTTAAAATGATGAAAACTGGAAACCACTTAACATCTATCAGTAAGGAAGTTAAATAAATATTCATCTAAACACTGACTTTATAACCCTTAAAAATTATTTTACTGTGATGTGGGAATGAGTATATGTGACACAACCATATAAAAGAGTATGTATTATATGTGATATACAACTCTAAAAAGTGACTATATGGGATACAAAAATGCTGTAAGTGGTAACAGGAGGCTATAAAACAGTATTTAAACTTTATCTCTGAGTCTTGTTTTTGTTTAAATTACATATTACTGAGTTTTGTTTTTGTTTAAATTACATATTACGAAGTTTGCGGCCCTTGGGAAAAGACCACAGATGCACTCCAATTATAATTAAATGATTTATTGATTAGCTGATAGCAGGAGGACAGCCTTAAAGCCAAATCTCAGCCTTCATGAAGGCGTGATATGGGGAAAGGGTTTTTAAAGAAGAAAATCTTCAATACCTACACAAGCGAGCAAAAACTGGTCTGTTCTGCCAGTTAAGTTGTCAAAGTGACCCAAAACAATCCGTGGGTGTCTGTGTAAGCAAGCAACAGAGCCCAAAAGTCAATTAGTCAAATCAAAGCAAGTAGTTGGCCATGGCTGTACATTTCAGGTGGTTGGGGGGGGGGGGTCACTGCGTCAGGGTAACTGAGAACTTATCTTCCAGGGACTGGAGTCGAAGACGAATGGCTGGTGGGTACCAAGATGGATGCCTAGCATAAAACAGAGATTCTTTGGTTATCACATGTGATATTCATAGAAAGAGCCTGTGGCATTTCATGATATGTGAATATTATCAGGAGCAAGTTTAAAAGTCACTGTCTCTTTTATCTCTTTTTGGGAAGGGTTATTTTCCAGAGTAGGACCTCATGGTATACCTAACCTTCAACTCAGCTCATGGTATAGCTGGCCTTCCGTTCGTGGCCCTCCAGTCTCCACCTGAGTGCTGGAATTACAGAACTACTCTAGGCTTCTGCACTCTAACATGTTCTTTTTTCTTACAAAAGCTTAAACTTTTGTAAGTAGACATGAGTCCACATCCCTTTTTCTTTAAATTCATTTTTTAAAAATACTTCATAAACATCACCCAAGTGACCTCCAGTTTCCACAACAGTCAGGAAACGGGGCATTCTGGGAGCAAAGGCAAGGGTTTAATGGCCTTATTTACTTAAATTTATTCTTTCTTAATTCTCTCTCTTTCTCCCATGAAGCACCTACAGCAAAGCTTTAGTGGTAAGAAAAAAAAAATGCCATTCTGTAATGAACCCACACATCCTTCGCTATACTGGAACTGTAAATATCTTACTTAAAAGATCTGAATTCTCCCCGCCTAAAATCCTGAGGTGGTCCACTAATTTACTCACCTAGGGGCAATTTCAGGGAACCCTGGTTTTACTTCTATCCCGAAGAAACTGCTGGCAGAACGTGGAGGCAAGCGGAAGGGAGGGCAGATGGGACTTTTCCCCTCAAATACCTCTTTCGCAGCTGTGCTAGGAGATCCAGGTGCCCCCAATGCTGAGAGGGTGGGATCACATACTAACTTCCCCTATAACAGTGAGAGCTGCATGCACAGCCTAGGCCTGAGTGCGCTAAGTGGTGACTTCCAACATGGTTTGGCGGCAGAGTAGGGAGTCTGTAAGCTCTCCATGCTGCAGGAGGTGAGTCATTCTGGGAATGAGGGTAGGGAATGCAATGACTTTATTTAAGTTTACTTTTTCTTAATTCCCTTTCTTTCTTATCTAGCATTTACAGGTCGATTTCTGTCTTATTTGCCCTTGTGGCTTTAGTAAACTCACTAAGTCTTCCTCAGTCGAAGAATCCTGCCTTCCCAGGTATGGCTCTTGGGTGACAGAACCCTCTTACTGAAGAGAACTGGCTCCCAACTTTCCTCCCTCTCTTTTTCTCCCCATCCTTCCCAACAGGGACTTGCTGTGTAGCCTAGTGTGGCCCGAGTCCAATGTCTCAATCCATCTGCCCAACCTCCTTTATGCTGGCTTATCTGGTGTGTGCTCCCATGCCTAGTTTAATGACTTATCACTCCCTTCTTTCTTTTAAAGTCAGTAAAGAATTTCTCCTGTTTATCTATGGATGTCAGCTAGATGCAAGAATTCAAAACAACTCCTGTGCTACTTCTCAACCCCTTGCTGTTTTGCATTTTCTGGTGCCTAGCTCAAGACACATACGCCTCATAGTCTTTACGCCTTAAACTTAAGGCATCAGCATCATATACAACCAGGACTCTTCTCTGAAAAAGTTCAAGACTCTCCCTTAAGTCAGAAGCTTCAGAAATGCAGGTCTTGGCCAGATTTGGCCTGGGGGGGGGGGGGGGGTGTGAATCCCTGAGGCTTTCTCAGGATTTTCTTCTTGAAGCTCTAATTTGAAAGATTGTATAGCAAGCTTCCGCTCCTGAGGCCTACCATGCCCACAGCCAGCAGCTTCACCCCCACAGCAGGCAGCTCCCTGTCTAGGTTTCTGGCCTTGGCTTGTTAACACTAAGCTGGGCTTCTCCTTGGAGCCCCCAGTATTAAATAGGAACATCTTATAGCTCTGTTATCTTGTGTTGCATTTGTAAATCTTAATCTGTGAGCTCCCTGATGCTAAGAGTGTCCTCCCCTTCCTCAACCTGCGGTCATTCACCCATGCTGATGAGGAAGATGGTGTTTCCACACTTACCTGTAGGTATAGTGTCTCCTGTTAACTCAAAAGTCTTCCAATACTTCATCTGTTCTCCAGTCACTGTCACTTGTGATGAAAATGAAATGAGAGTTGAGTTTCCAAGCAGTTTTGACATGGAAAAATGGCATCCTTCTGTGATGGGTATGTATTGTGTACTATTTAATCCTTTAAAAAATATTTTAATGACTTTCCTTTTAAACTTTTTTATGTGCATTGGTGTTTAGCCTGCATGTATGACTGTGAACCCTCAGATTCCCTGGAACTAGAATTAACAGTTGTGAGCTGCCATGTTGGTGCTGGAAATTGAACCAATGTCCTCTAGGAAGTGCATCCCCTGCATTTAATCTCTGAGCATCTCTCCAGCCCCTGTACTATTTAAACTTAATCCAAATTTGTAGAAAGCAGGACCACCTATTTGGGTACACTAGAATCCAACCCCTATAGCAACTGGCATCTGTTTCCTCTGGTGCTATGGGGGTCCCAGTGCCACCCAGAGGGGAACACCTGTCTTTCCTGAATAAAATGACTTATGTGGGATCCCACTGGGAAACTTATGGGTGTATGTCACAGCACACAAAGTTGCAATCACATCACCAAATTGGTTCATAAATGATAGAAGTCCCTTAAGATGTGGGTGTGAAGTTCTGGCTCAGAACCTTCAGTTGGCTCTGACACTAGTACATATTTCTTGGTCATCTGTCTTCTGTAGATACCTCTGGTATTGAAATTTTAAACTGCACTTATGCTGTGGACTCAGAAAAGCTCATCATGAAATTCCCTTATGAAACCTGTGCTACAAGAGTGGTAAGTGCTTTTGAGGAGTGATTTGGGAAGTAGGAACCTAATCATTCATGTTAAACATGATGGCTAAGTCTACTTGAAATATAACAGTAGTCCCCAATCATATTGACTTGTTCTACTGGGTTACTAACATAACCCAGAGAAACATTCTGGGGATGAGATGGACTCTACTACTGGCATCAATGTGGGTAGAATTCAAGGATATTGTCACATAGCTTATGTGCCCAGCTTATAGTGAAAAGGGCTGAAGTATCAGTGCTTGAGCTAGTCCCGGGTTTGACTTCAAATAAGCTATCTAACCTTGCTAAGCCTCTATTTGCTTATTGGAAAATTGGAAAGGTGCTGCCATCTCCACAGGATATAAAGACAAATGATACAACTTAGACAAAGCAAATGCTTGGGCATGGTGTTATTTTAGTATAACCCCTGTGTGAGATGGAAGCTATTTTTGGTGCTAGCAGATAGAGAACTAGCTTAAGAACAGGTGTTAAAAAGCAAACAGTTGCTAAGCAATAAGGATTTCTCTATTGCCAAGCAACAGGATCGTCCAATTAGGGTCATTAGGTGTAATAAAAAGGTGTAATAAAAACTGTCACATGGCAGAAGTTCTTAAGCTTTCAGTGCAAAAAAAAAAAAAAAAAAAAAAAAAATCACCTAAGGGTTTTGGGTGTATTCAAGGTTCCAGCTAATGTGGGTGTGTGATAAGTCTTGCCAGTCGAATGTTTTTACAGGTCACATCATCTATCCTTATAGTGTAAGCTTTGTGAATAGTCATAGAAACACTTTCTGAGCAGTCTTCTTGTCCACTAAGACCCACTGTGATGGCTCAGGAAAGTAATCATATATCTTTTATGAAAATCTGTACTGATTTAAGTTTTTCTGTTCATTTATTCTTTGAGGTTTCATACATGTGTGCAGTACATGTTTATCATATTCACCCCTCACTTGCCACTTCCAACTTCTCTCAGGGCTTCCCAGCTTCTTTCTCTCTTCAGGGCTTCCCATCACATATCCCTTCCAATTTGATGTCTTATGAATACAGGCCTTCCCAATTTCAAGAAGCTTAGAACTGAATTCCCCTGGGCCCAGTGTCTGCTAACTGCAAGCCGTGAATGGCCAAATCTAGTCTCCTAGCCTTAATGTGGTAATCTTTGAATTAAGAACAGTTTTTAAAGTTAAAATGACATAAATTCTAAGAGTTACTATACTATACTATACTATACTATACTACATTTAACAGATAACAATCTTGCCTTAGACTTAAGTTCCCCAAAGCCAAAGGTAACAGATGGCTCCACCCAGCACAAGGGTTTCTACTTAGTTACAGAGTAGGCATATTTGAATAACCTGTATAGATGTCTGGGACTAGACAACGATTCCCAACATAAGACAATAGAACATAATAAAAATGTAACAGAAAATCAGGTTCTATCCCTAATGTCTGAACTCCCCCTCAACCTGTGAGTCTTACAAAGATATCTCAAAAAGAGCTAGCTATAGTCTCTGGCAAAGGAATAAGTACCTTAAGGATCTTATATTACTTAAATATGTCCCACACCAATGGTCAGACTAATAGTCTTCTAGAATTTCCTGTCCCACTAAGGATCCAACTTCCTCATTTGTGCTGTGTTTGTACACAGGTCGGTGGGTACCACGTGACCATCAGGGTACAGGACAACAGTACTGACATAAGATATGAAGATGATCTGCATTTCTCCTGCCCATTTCTGAAAACAGAGATCTATGAGTTTTCAGAAACCATAGTCTGCACTAAGGAGTTTGTATCTGTAAGTGAAGAGGGATGATTGCCTCTCCTATGGCTATTGCAGGGGAAATGGGATGGTGTTGTGGACGTAGCTGGGCTTAGTAGCTGGGTGGACCTCAATTTCACTTTTACTGTATTTGCTGTGTGACCATGATTGCATTTTTCTCAACCATGCTGAGGCTTTGTTTCTAAGGCTGAAGTGGAAGAACAACAGTTGTCACCTGACAGAGCAGCTGTAAGAATGAGTACACACAGTGTTGGACACAGTATGCCTAGTAATAGAAAAGGCTCAGATCTGCAGCCACACTGATACTCACAGGATTGCCTAATACCACATTCCAGGCTCTGTCTCCAAACTAAAACATAGTAAATAGACAAACCAGCCCCTTTGCTTTTGGATTTATACTCAATAGGCCCATGTTGACAATGGACCACTAAGTAATAATACCTGTACCAAGCAATGGCTTGATGCTGTACTTAGTTCTGTGCATATAATAAAGGTGTGTGTTTTAGAACCTAGTGTTTCATCTTGTAACTGGATCTAGTCTACCTTTTCCAATGCCTTTTGATACTGGAAACCCAAAGGGGTAAAATCCAAGGGCAGAATTGGAAGATACATCTGGCCATGGGCTCTTCCTACTGCATAGCAACAGTCAGGTTTCTTAGAACAGCATTGATTGATTATGTCAATTAATCTTAGTGTTTTTTGCAAAATAGTAGGTGGCAGAGCTTCAGAAAGTTTCTCCTAAATCTTTTCTTTTTTTCTTTCCAGTTTTCCTTCCCTTATGTTTTTTCTAAGTTTGCTGATGATGCTCAGGTAAGAGTACAGGGTTTTTTTTTTTTTTTTTTTTTTTTTTTTTTTGAGTGTGTGTGTGTGTGTGTGTATGTGCGTGCATGCGTGCGTGCGTGCGTGCGCAGGCACAGATGCGCACCATATATGGAGAGGGTGAGTGCAGGGGATAGAGGGAATAGGGTGTCAGATCCCTGTAACTGTAATTGAAGGCAGTTTTCAATCAGGTAATATGGATTCTGAGAACTGAATCGGGTCCTCAGGAAGAGCAGTAAGTATTCACTGAGTCACCTCTCCAACCCCAAGAATATAATTACTCACTTATGAGCCATATAGCATTTGAATTCATGTTAAAGTTCATGGTCACTTCAATCTGATAAAATACTAGATTCTTGTGGCTAAGTGCCAATCTTTTAAATAATGCTTTGTGTGTGTGTGTGTGTGCGTGTGTGTGTGTGCGCGTGTGCACGCGCACACATGCACAGTCATGAATAGGTCTGTTGGCATACACTTGTAGGTTAGAGGACTACTTGGAATTATCTCCATGCTTTTGACCTTTAGAATAATGCATCTGAGATGGGATGGATTGTTAAGCTTGGCAATGGTACAAAAGTCCACACTCTGCCCCTGAAGGATGCCTTAAGACAAGGATTTAGTCTTCTAATTGACACCCAGAAAATAACCCTCGATATACCAAGCAATGCTACTGGAGTAGCTCACTATGTGGTAGGTGTGAAAACCCTTTTATATCACCACCAAGGAACTGACCAATGTTCTTAAGCTGCAGCATGATCTCAACCCATGTCTTCAAATGATCTGTATTGTCAAACATAGAAGTATATTTAGGTGGGCAGATTGGCATATACTTGTAGTTCTAGTACATTGGATGCTGACACAGGAAGCTTGTGAGATTGAGGACAGCCTTGACTACATAGTGAGAATTTGTCACAAACCTACAAGTTCTAATACCAAGTACTTCACTGGATGATAGGAATGCAATTGTGAAGAGACACTGGTCTTGGCATGTGTTCTTCCCTCTTTATAGACTTACATTCAAAAGTATAATGTAGAGAAGGGAAGGGGTATTGTGAGTCTTAAGTGTTAAGGTAGTCTGTTTGTGTTTACTTTGCCTCCCAGGCCATCTGTGAGATATTAAATTGACATGTTATAATCATGTTCTGTATAATGTTTATGTCAGTGATGGACCAAATGACAGTAGTTCCATAAGACTGTAGAGGAGCTGAATTAGCCTGTTGATAGATGTAGTAACATTATAGTGCAATGCCCTGCCTTGTTTAGAGTGATGCTAAATGAACCTTTTCTGCCCATTGAATAAAGGTTTCACACATACAATCACATGTTAGTGGATAATGGCAAAAGTAAGTTTTGTGTGACTATGCTCTACTGTGCAAGGACAATTATCTGATGGCACATTTCTTGGATTTATCCCACTGCTAAGTCATGTATGATGTGCTTGAGATAGGTCCTAGCAGGTGCTCAAACACTGGCTACTTTAATAAGAGACAGTTTTCATTTCACCTTGAATATAAGCACCTCTATAAGCACCAGCATTATAAGACAGCCACTGAATATCATCAGTTCTTACTGCTTCCTAGAAATGGGTCAGCTATAGGTCATCCCCATAGACAGCACTAGTCTTCAAGCATTAAAGGAGACAAGCATTATAGGAGTCAAGATTAAGAGCAGAGCACCTTGGCAGCAATTGGATAAAATACCTACATCTCTTTAGTTCCAAAGTGATGCCCACTGCTTGTCTATGTTGGCTCTTATTAGAGACTCAAACTAATATCTTCAAATTCCCGATTTCCCTCCCCCCAGCAAGGGACCAGTCATCTCTATACTGTGCAGCTGAGGCTTTTGTTCTCCATTCCTGGGCAGACGGTCACCTTTGCCTCACAAGCTGTCTGTGCATCAGGTGAGGCCCGAAAGACCACAGCTGTAGCAGTGAGAAACACTGTTCTCTGGGCTTAACCAAGGCTGATGATAATGGGTATTCCATCAACCATTTGCCTGCAGATCTTTCTGTGGCTTGCAATGCTACACACATGACTCTCACCATACCAGAATTTCCTGGGAAGCTAACGTCTGTGGACTTTGGAAAAAGCAGCATCCCCGAGATTCAATGGCATGCCAGTGGGATCGACAAAGAAGAAACAAATGGCTTGAGACTGCATTTCAGAAAAAGTCTCCTGAAAACGAAAGTATGTTGTTATTCCCTGAATGCCACAAGAGCCTTCTGAAGTACTCTGGGGATAATATGACTCATGACTTGCCTATCATAGAGCCTATTTGCTACGATGATGAATTTAAATGGTGCCAGGCCTCCCCTGATCACTTTACACAAATGAATTTTTAAGGAAAGTTCTCTCCAATACCATCTCTTTAACTTCTGAGTTCATTTGATAAGTACAAACTACCTATTAGAAATCCAATGGTGAGCCCCTGCTATGCTGATCTATAATGGGGCAACTTGGTCTTTTTGTGTTTGAACCGATTGTTTAAGGGTCTCCTGTTGTCCTGGGGCTAGTCTTGATGGATACAGTTGCCCCGGATAGATTGTCTGGGTGTGTGCAGCAATAGCATTTTGTAGTATCTGGAGTCCCAAGGGATGCCACTACTTTCAGTTTGATTTGTTAATTCAAGCTTTAGTGACTAATAGTACAAAGAGCATGAAATGCTGGGCACTTTAGGATGTGCGTTTAAAGCAATAAACTTCTACCTAGAGAAGCAGCCTGACCTGAGGAAGTAGCAACTCCTTTGTTTGGCTTAGAAGGAAACTAGATCTGTCTGAAGTGTGTTCTGCAAGTGTTTGGGAACTAATTCTTGCTTCCTGCTTCTGGAAATGGCTAGTTGACTTTCTCTCATTTCAGCCCTCTGAAAAATGTCCACCCCATCAGTTCTACGTCTCTTCACTCAAGCTGACCTTTTACCTCCAGTCAGACATGGTATCCACAGTGATTGATCCTGAGTGCCACTGTGAGTCACCAGTCTCTTTAGGTAAAGTTTTTTTTTTTTTTTAATCAAAATTATGTTTTTGTTTTTTCTTTGCTCCTCTTAATGCATGTGGGAAAATGTAACAGACCAAGATTGTGATTCATACTTGTGGGTTAAAGAGACTGAATATGAGCCATGTCAGAAATGACAACCTAAATTCTAGGATAGGGGTGCAAGTGTGCTACTATTCTCAACATTCATACTGTGAGGTCATTGTGGAACTGCTGGATTTAACCTGGGTATATTGGGTTAGATGTGAAATCCCCATCACCACTACCATCCAGGGACAAAGGCTTCAAGCTTCTAGTTTAAAGTGTTTCCTGAGACTGCTATGAACTCTGAAAAGGAATCCTAAGTGGGTACCTTCTCTAGCTGAGCCTCGATTTTCCTTACTCCTCACCTAGACCAGGTCAGGCCAATAATAAAAGCTCTCTTCTCAGCTCTCAAATTGCCTGGGATTTGTGAGTTCAGGCTGAGTATCCCTACCAAGAGTTCAGAACCCACAGTTTTGGGACTTGGAATTCTGTCAGATTGTTTTATATTGTATAGCTTCCTATATGAGCTTCCTGAGTTAAAAAAAAAAAAATTCAATCTTAGAGACACAATGAAGCCTGGAACTTTATTGCCAACCCAGACTGAATCCTTAAGACACTTGAATCATTTATCAGGGTGTGGCCTCATCACCTATGGACCCTTCTTCCCATGTCTCCTAGTCTATATGGTGACAACATTGGTCATGGTAACTTAACGTTCCTCTTGTAACTCAACATATTTTATCAGTGTTTGCTCAAAAAGACTTAAGATTACTTGAGCTTAGTTTCTGGATTGCTCTAAGACTTCAAGGCTGACTGATAATTTCACAGGGTAGGCTTATTTTCTTTAAACCTTTACTGCTGTCCAGTTGCAGATGAACTATGTACACAGGATGGCTTTATGGACTTTGAGGTCTACAGCCACCAAACAAAACCTGCTCTGAACCTGGAGACCCTCCTGGTGGGAAACTCCTCCTGTCAGCCTATCTTCAAGTCTCAGTCACTGGGCCTCATATGGTTCCGTATACCTCTGAATGGATGTGGAACAAGGCAGAAGGTGAGTAGTAGCCAATGGTAAGAAGTGAAGACGTACTTTTGAAGTAAGTACTTTATTGATCCATTTTGTTAACATTTAAGTTTGAAGGTGATAAAGTCATCTATGAGAATGAAATACATGCTCTCTGGAAAAATCTACCACCAAGCATCATATTCAGGGATAGTGAGTTCAGGTGTGTCTTAATTTCTACTTGGGATATTTTAAGCTTTTGTTTAAATTACAGGGATTTTGTTAACATAATTCTTATCTCCCTACCTGCAATTTTCCAGAATGACGGTAAGGTGTTATTATACCAGAGACAGTGTGCTACTAAATGCCGATATCAAAAGCCTTACTTCTCCAGTGGCTTCTGTAAAGCCAGGTCCACTGATGCTGGTCCTGCAAACCTACCCAGGTGAGGTGTTGCAACTTGAGCTGAATAAAACGCTTATTGCAATTTAGGGGAAAGTCCCCCATCCAATGCTGCCAGCATAACATGTTGCAAACAGCCTATACCTTAGTCCTGAAAGAGGTTTTCATTAATTGCAGACAAATCCTACCAACGACCTTATAAGGAGGATGAATACCCTCTAGTGAGATACCTCCGCCAGCCAATCTACATGGAAGTGACTGTCTTGAACAGGAATGATCCCAGTATCAAGCTGGTCTTAGATGATTGCTGGGCAACATCTTCTAGGGACCCAGCTTCTATCCCCCAGTGGCACATTGTTGTGGATGGGTATGTATTCCCTGCACCACAGGGTTTCCCAGATTTAAAAAAAACAAACAAACAAAAACAAAAACAAAACAATCAAAACGTACTAGGGATTAAAATTAATCCTCCTGAGACCTACAGGAGACATTGGTTATGAATTCCCTGAAACAATCCTTTCCTGGTCCAATCCAGTGGCTCATGCTGCTTTTCTATTACCCTGGACTTTTAAGGAATGGGCTTCTCCCAAAAAAGTCTCCTCTATTGCATCTTTATCATGAGAGGGAAAACTCTAGTGTCCATTTACTGGACACCTACCATATGCCAGACTGTCAGGTATCCCATGGCATCATCTGAGGAACACTAGCCACCTTTATGAAGGAAGCCAAACTTACTAAGAGTTGCTTTTGGTGAGTTACTTCAACAGTAAGCAATGGAGTTGGGATTAGAACTCCTACTCTAACCTAATGTGACAGTGCTTTTGGCTATAGGTTTTTGTCCTCTTGGCTCTGCCTGAAGTGTCCCCTCCAGGGTTCTTTGCCTGGAAAGAGCTATACTTTTGGCTTTTTTTGGCTTTGTAGGAATGTCACAAGGCTTCAAACCTCCAGGTAGACTCCAGCTGACTATTGCCTCAAGAGTACATACAACCCCATTCAATCATACAACCCATTTCTTTACCTTTGACAATTTGACCAATTATTCCTTCCTTCTGAGGCCAGGCTTGATCCTCCTTATCCCTCTATGTAATTCTCCATACCTTTGTCCTTTCCCTTCTTAAGGCCATCATTACCTGCTAGTCTGTAAAACAGAATAGCAACAATTCTCATTTTAGTGGACTAAGTAAGCTAGTATATTAAGTAACACACATACACTAACTGTAGGAGAGTGATCACAACTTAAATCTGTTGATGAATTTACTTGGTAAACATGTATTTGTATTATGTTGTATAATATAGGTGTTAAACAGAGGACTTCATGAATATTAATGGCTAGGTCCAGTCAGAAAGCTGTAAGTAAAACAAAGGTACTGGTAGGATATAGACATAGCTGTAGCATAGAGTTGTTACTTGTGATTCACCCTGTCCAAATGTACATGTGTGGGTTCCTGTGACTGATGCGCCCATCCTGGTGCCTGTTTCCTAGCTGTGAATATGAACTGGACAACTACCGTACTACCTTCCATCCAGCTGGCTCCTCTGTGGTCCATCCTGCTCACTACCAGAGGTTTGACGTGAAGACCTTCGCCTTCGTGTCCGAGGCGCAGGGGCTCTCTAGTCTGGTGTGTGATCAAGAAGTCAGGTGGGGCAGGTTGACAGTGAGTGCACTGGCTCCACTTGAGACTCTCTCCCTCCTCTTCCAGATCTATTTCCACTGCAGTGCCTTGATCTGCAACCCAGGGTCCCTTGACTCCCCTCTGTGCTCCGTGACTTGCCCTGCACCACTGAGGAGCAAACGAGGTAAAAATCCAATCCCTTTCTTGCTGCTCTAAGCAAGCCTCAGTTTTCTAGAATTGAGTACATTTTAGGATAACTGGTTCTCCACCTAGTCCCAAGAAACATCTTCACCCAGTCTTCCTTTACCAATGTGGTGAGACCAAGGTGCACAGGTTCTCATTTAGCTCAATGAGTCCATCCTTCCAGAATCCATCCATGACAGATGGAATTTGTGTCACAGGACACTCCAGGGGCATCTTCTAGGGACTCCATTGATGCCTCTGGCACTCTACTCCCAAGCTCAAAATATACCCTTGACTATCTGTCTCCTACCACAGAGGTCATCAAAGAAGATACAATGACAGTTAGCCTTCCAGGACCCATTCTCTTGTTATCAGATGACTCTTCACTTAAAGGTACAGATATTAAGTCTGGGGTACTTCTGAATACAAGTTTTTAATTTTTTTCTTACCAAAAATTTAATATGCTTAATGATAAACCTAAATAAGAGCAAAAATAAAGCAAGTTCCCTTCCCTCAGAGCCTTGAACTTCTTGTATGCTCTCCTGAAAATCTTGACACTAGCCAGATCATGTTTGGTACCTACTGATAGAATTGTTTTTTTTGTTTGTTTTAGTCTCTGATAGAACCATGTGATAGAACCATGTAGCATGCATGGGGCTCTTAGCCATGGTCTTGTTCATGACCCATTGTGTTAGTTCTCACAATTCTACTATTGTGCTAGATGTCATAATGGGTTCTTAATGCCACACTAGACCTCTAAGAGGATTATTGCCTACCATACTAAGAAAATTGGTGTATATTGCTAGCAGATCAGTAGGTTGGAAAGCATGAATATATCTTAAACTTCTGCCAAATGGAAATCATAAGAGATTATGCTCTATAATCATTCCACAGCCTCACCCAGAGGGCTTAAAATGTAAAGTTAAACTATCTTAAATCACTAGCCAACCTTCTGTGATATCACACATCCAGGGAGAGCTAGCAATCAGGACATTACATTAAGTCAGGCTGAGTGGCTGAGGTGCTCTATAGGGATCAGCCCATCCGGCTTCAGATGGAGAGGGCAAAAGGTAAGAGCGGGGGGGGGGGGGTGAGGGGGGGTGGAGAGGTGTGGAGTAGGGGAGGGTGAAGGTGGCAATAGAGAGGGTTAGGTTGTGTCTTACTGCAAACTTCAAGAACAAGTGATTGAAGCGTAACATCTGTTTTAAGGCCTCAACACAGCCATATGACTTGAATACCTGCTTTCTTTGTAGATGCTATGGTCCCCAACAAACACGAGGTTGTCAAGGATACTGCTTCTAAAACAGTAGCTGCTGTGGCTGCATTAGTGGGTTCAGTGGTGATTGTCGGCTTCATCTGTTACCTGCATAAGGAAAGAACTATGAGGCTGGATCACTAATTGGACTTGCAAATAAAGAGGCTGCAGTAGAACTCTTGTCTTATGTGTTTATGTGTAGACACACAGGTGAGGCCAGAGGACAACCTCAAGTTGGTCTTCCGGCACCTCCTTTGGGAGGAGGAAGAGAAGTGGTCCCCTAGGCTTGGGATGTACCAAGTAGGCTATAATGGTGGTTTAGTGAGTGAGTCGCAGGGAGTCGCAGGGATTTGCCTATCTCTGACTCCCTGGTACCAGTAATACAGTGTGTACCACTATGCCTGGCCTTTAAAAGCAAAACAATGTGGAGCTCAAACTCGGGTCCTCATGCTTGAAAGACAAGTATTTACCTGGCTGTGCCATCTCTCCATCTTTACAGCCCTTTTACCTTATGTTTCAAGTCTAGAAACTATTTAAAAATAGTTTCCTTTAATCCCAGTATTCAGGAGGCAGAGCCAGGCGGATCTCTGAGTTCAGGCCAGCCTGGTCTACAGAGCTAGTTCCAGAACAGGCTCCAAAACAATAGAGAAACCCTGTCTTGGAAAAAAAATAGACCTAGAGGTCAAAGCACATATATAGTAGGTCTCCAGCTTTATCATGAAATTTTTTAAACTTTTAAAATTTAATTCAATTAAAAACATTAAATTTTACTTTACATACTAATCCAGTTCCCTCTCCTTCCTGTCCTCCCAATTCCCCCACACCATCCCCCAATCTACCCCCATCCACTCCCCCCAGAGAAGGTGAGGCCTTCATCAAAGTCTGTCACATCATTTGGGGCAGGACATAGACCCTCCCCCACATATCTAAGCTGAGAGAGTATCCCTCCATAGGGAATGGGCTCCCAAAGCCCATTCGTACACTAGGGATAAATACTGGTTCTACTGCTAGAGGCCCCATAGACTGCCCAAGGCCCCCAACTGACACCCACATTCAGGGGGCTTGGTTCAGTCTTAAGCTGGTTCCTCAGCTGTCAGACTGGGGGCCATGTGCTCCCCCTTGTTCAGGTCAGCTGTGTCTGAGTTTCCCTAGCATGGTCTTGACCTCTTTGCTCATCACTCCTCTCTCTCTACAACTGTATTCCAGGAGTTCAGCTCAGTGCTTAGCTGTGAATCTCTGCTTCTGTTTCCATTAGCTACTGGTTGAAGGTTCTAGGATGGCATATAAGGTAGTCAATCAATCTCATTATGGGGGGAGGACATTTAAGATAGACTCTCCACTGTTGCTTAGATTCTTAGTTGGGGTCATCCCTGAGGATTCCTGGAGATTTTTCTAGTGCCAGGTTTCTTAAGCCCATAATGGCTCCAAGTAGCACAGACACTGAGATTGACAATAAATGGGACCTCCTGAAACTGAGAAATTTTTGTAAGGCAAAGGACCCAGTCAATAAGACAAATGGCAGCCCACAGGATGAGAAAAGTTCTTCACCAACCCCACATCTGACAGAGGGTCAAAATATACAAAGAACTAAAGAAACTAGTCACCAAAACACCAAATAATCCAATTAAAAAAGCGGGAACAGATCTAAATAGAGAATTCTCAGAGGAATCTCAAATGGCTAAGATGTTGAACAATTTCTTAACGTGCCTTTTAACCAATTAGAAAATGCAAATCAAAACAACTCAGATACTATCTTCTACCTGTCAGAATGGCTAAAATCAAAAACACCAAAGACAGTTTATTCTAGAGAGGATGTGGAGAAAGGGGAACGCTTCTCCATTGCTGGTGGGAATGCAAACTTGTACAGCCACTTTGGAAATCAGTATGGCAGTTTCTCAGGAAAATGGGAATCAATCTACCTCAAGATCCAGCAATTCCACTCTTAGGCATATACCCAAAGGATACACAACTATATTCATAGCAGTATTATTTGTATAATAGCCAGAACCTGGAAGCAGCCTAGATGCCCCTCAACTGAAGAATGGATAAAGAAAATGTTGTACATTTACCCAATGGAGTACTACTCAGCAGTAAAAAGCATTTGCAGGCAAATGGATGGAACTAGAAGAAACCATCCTGAGTGAGGTAACCCAGACACAGAAAGAAAAACATGGTATGTACTTATTCATAAGTGGATATTAGACATTGAGCAAGGGACAACCAGCCTATAATCTACAACCCCAGAGAATCCAGGAAACAAAGAGGCCCTGAGAGAGACATAACATGGACTCCCTCCCCCTGCCCTAAGAAGGGGAATGGGATATCTCCTGGGTAAATTGGGAGCATGGGGTGGGGTAGGAGAAATAGGTGGGGAGAAGGGAAGGTAGGAGGAGAATACGAGGGATCAGGAAGATCAAGTTGGGGGAAGAACAGAGAAGGAAAGCAAAGCGATAACTGAATTTCTCTTTTAAACATACCCCGTGTTAGACTTTGCATAGCTGTGACAACACTCCTGGGAAAACAAAGGACAGATTTATTCTGGTTCAGTTTCCAAAGTAAAAGTTAGTGCTTGGGCAGGATGTCACAGCAGTAGGGTCATAATGTCAGAGGACAAGCTGGCTTCACCAAGTACAGTGAAGGAACCCAGAACCAAGTGTAGCCTTTGAAGGTGTGCTCCTTGCAGCCCTATTCTGCTCAGCAAGGCCTCACAGCCTAAAGTTTTCACAACCTACAATCTCAGTGTCACCAGTGGGGGACCAGATGTTCTCAGGAGCCTGTGAGCTCTTCAGGCCACACCACAGCCTTTCTCAAGTCATCTTGTGAAAGAGTTTGGCAGGGTAAAAATCATGGCCTGAGGAATGACTGTTCTTAGACTATGTGGAAGGTTTGGGGTGCCCAGAGTAAGTTAAAAGCTCAAGTCCTCAAAGCCATTCATTCTTCAGACCTGGGTTTGTAAGGGTATAAGGAATTACTGATAAAAGAAGAATCTACCTGAGTTCAAACTTTTCTGTGTGAAACTTTGTATCTCTATGCTGCCACACGTTTAAACTTGAAATAAAACTTTTATGTGCTGTGCCCTTTAAATGACATTAAAACACACACTGATTTAATAGCAGCCTGCTCGGCAAATGCAAAAATAAGTTGGTTACTTAAATGGCTCCGGCACCTCATGTCCACATCATCATCCTAAAAGCAAATCTGTATGTTTCAGTACTGGTAGCTTTCCATGGAGACAGAGTTCATAGGTGTGAGATGGTCTTGATATGGTTAGATGATACGGGTGGTCCAATCACAAGGTTTCTAATAAAGCTGATACAGGAGACCTGGACTCCAAAAGATGTGACACTGGTAGCCAAAATCTGAGTGGTGCATGGTCACAAGCCAAGGAGCCCAGGCAGCCACCAAGAGAGGAACAGGTGGGGAGATACTAATAGAGTCTCCCAAGGTGCACAGCTCTACTGCCCCATTTTGGACTTCTGACCTCCAGACTTGTATCTACAGGAGTCTGTTTTATGGCTAAGTTTGTGTTCAGTTGTTGGAAACAGCTAAAGGAAACCAACACACCCTCTAATGACTCATGACCAGCAAGCTGGAAAACACGCCAATGAGAAACGCTCATGTTATCCATCAGTTACCCAAGTTACTATAGCTCAGGATGTCCAAGTCTCCCTCATCTGCAAGTTGGTGCACATGTGTGGGGATAGATCGCCTGGGCTTCTAGACTTCTCTACAACACAACTCCCTTCTGAAGTGTGTGCTGAAAGTACCAAAACGAACTGAGAGGGTAGAAAAATGGAACTTGCCTTGAGCAGCTGCCGGGATGAACACTTGTTGCCATGGTAGCCTGGAACAAGTTCAGCGAGCAATAGATTCAAGTCGGGCTCTCAACTTCTGAAAGTACACATCCTACAGTGTGTGGGGGAGGCAGCCTATTCGGAGAGGAACTGTGTGGGCAAGGAATTGAGCTCAAACCCCAAGAGGCTGCTCCTTCATCCACAACTGGGTTTGTGACCTTCCATAGTGGGTATTGATGGGTTGCAACTGTGATGCAGGTGTCAGTAATAGAATAAAGGCTCTTGGACGGTTCTGATGGTTAAGGGTACAGGGGCTAGGAATGGGCTTGTATTATACACTGAGGAAAGAGACCTCTAAGTTACTTTTCTTCCCTGACCTGTTCTGTGGCTAGTATAGTTTACTTGGGCAGATGGAGCAATCTCTGTCTGTTTCCACACCCCAGTTAGTGTCAACCCCCTAAACTCACAGTAGGGAAGCAAGGATGAGGTCCATGAAATAATCAGGGCATTGATACAAAGCTGCCTGGTCAACCCTGAAGCATCTAAACACAGTACTAAAACACTAAAGCCAAATGCTACACCAGAGGTCCTTACATGTATATTTTACAAAGTACACATGCTCACCCTTTAAATGAATCTTGAAAAAGTGGGTCTGAGCATGTTTGGACAACATGGAAGGAGAAATGATGGCCATAGTAACATTCATTTGCTAATCTCTGGTGCTGTGAATGTTCCCTACATGGTAAGAAGGACTTTACCATTATGATAAATGTAAGACGGTTGAGATGGGGAAATTACCTGGATTGTTGAAGTAGAATATGAATATAACCCTATAAGAGAGAAGCCTGGCTAAGGAAAAAGGCAAGCTGAGGGGACTAGAAGTTGGAGTGGTCCATTTTGAAGAAAGAGGAAGAGGATACTAAGGTCTTGGGTGGTCCTTGGGTTGTCTCAGCTTGTCCTTTTAGCTAAGAGATTTTCTAGAATAATTAGTACCACAAACATTCAGGTAGTGTGATGGGATAACTAAAGAGACAAATCGGGGGTACCCTCTCATGGGTTCAGAGTGTGTGTGGGAGAGGAGGGATGGGCCATGTCTTAAATGAGTAGCTCATAGCACTTAAGAACACTCAGTTTTCTCTGATTTCAGGATAGCTGGTAATGGGGAAAGGCTATAGTCCTTTTGACTGCAAGGTCACAGCATTGGGCTTGTCATTTCCTGGGGTCTAGTTAGCTAAGGAGCATTCCTGGAAGTGAGGATTAGAGTTAAAGCTAGTTTCAATACCAATAGGACTGCTGTTGTCTCCTTTTACAGCAGCTGTGATGAGGGTGGGGGAGGGGGGCCAGCAACAGGTGAGAATGGCCTGAACTCCCAAACCCAAAAC